TAATCTTAAACTTTCTAGCCGATATGTATAAATAGTATGAATAGCTATATTGCAGGACATGCGCATATACTCAAATCGGGAATGCTTTCCCCGAAATATTCCTCGTGATGACTCATTTGAAGGTCATTCAACACCGTTGCAGTATCATCGCCCACAGATTGGTAAATTTTAGATAATATTAAAGAAGATTTGAAATTGTAAGCAGTAAAAATATCTGGAATGAATATTTGGTTACTAATTTGGCACATGTTATTTCATATTTTTAAATATTTCTGGAAATTTTTGATGCTGAAAACATGCTTTGTAATATGATACTCGTGAAACCAATAGCTAGTGATCCAAAATTTATCATTGTTAAATAACCGTATGGTCGGGATTTTTCTTTTAAATTTTGAAAATTTTGAGTTTCTTTTTTGCAGCAATGTCCACTCGTACAGCATCGTCTACATCAAACAATGCTATGCCGTCAATTATTCAGTCTTCAGCTGATAGTTCTAGTTCATCACTCACAGTAAGCAATAGTCGTTTTCCACTTGATGATGGTACAACGTTGAAAAAATTTCACAATTCAACATCGAGTCCAAAAGTCCGTGAATTTAATGACACCATTCTTGGAGCATCGAATTGTTGGACTAAGGAGTCTATCAAACAACCTGTTTCGGGCAATACAGATGATAAGCACGTGAAAAAAGAAGCACCGAATATGTTCAAAGTTATCCAAAGTTATATGGGAGATCGGAAAAGTAAAACGTCTAATGATCAGGTTAAAAATTTGGAAATTTTACGGAATTTAACTATTGTCGAAGAATTCATGGCGAGAAAATAAAGATCCTAGAAATAGAAAATTTCTAGGATTTTTATTTTCTAGAAATAAAAGCAAGAATAAGAGCTTAAGAATAAGAGCTTAGAATAAGATTCTCTTGCAGTGATTTAGCTAGCAGTTATAAAATTTGGCTTGAACTAGCAGCAGCAATTTTTCTTTGGTAAATTATTTAGCATTATATTTAGGTCTAAAAAATTGAATTTAAGCTGCACTACTACTTTTTTTATTTAGTATTTACATGGTTCCAGCTATCATGATTTTATTGTTCATTTTTCGGAATTTGTTTTTGAATTAACATTTTTCAGCGATTAGAAATCTTTTTTGAATAAGTACTTTTAATTGCATTAATGATTTTCTGCTAGTTATTTTAGTTGGCTTTAACGCTGTGTGAATGGGGTATTTCAAAGGAAAGTTTAGCCGATGAACTTTTTTGTCAAATTATGAAACAATTAACGGGCAACGAAAGATTTGATTCGATACGAAGAGGATGGGAATTACTTGCTATATTTTTGGCTTTTTTCTCACCATCAAGTCGAGAAATAACTCAGAAATTGACTGAATTTATTGAAGCAAACTCTGATCGATTGTTGGACATGCCCGAGGTATGTATCTATCTTGAACTTAATAAAATGGACTTCCAATATTCAAAAATACGATAGCTACAAGGATGGATGTGAATGAATTTTAAGTCGAGGAAAAGGTAAAAGGAAAGGAGTCGATTATCTGATAATACTTTTTCCTGTTTTTTTCTTTTGGTAAAAATTTCAAGGGGAAATGTAAATTTCATTTTAATTTGATTCAGGTGCCTGTCTCTCATTATGCTATTCAGTGCAGCAGACGTCTTATACGTTTATCGGCTGCACGGCCGAAACCATCGCTTAGTCTTATTCAAGAATCTCGTGTACATATTTTCAACCCACCGCAATTTTGCACTCCTCTAGAAGAACTGATGGAAATGCAAGCCGAAAAATATCCGGAAAGGTTCGTCTTGATTTTAGGCTTTGTTTATATTTGAAAACTATTGGAAACTATTTTTTTTATTTAGTTACTCGATTGTCTTAGCAGTGAACGATGTAATAAAAGCTGAAATTTAAGAGATATTTGCTTGTTGCTCACCTATTGAACTTCAAAGTTCACAGATACAAAAAAAGATAAAGAGAGGGAGATGGAGATGGAGAAAGAAAGGAAGGAAGACTGATGGACAGCAACAATTATATCTTGCTCTAAACTTGAGAAGGAAGCTTCGGAATTGTAGTCCGAGAATTTAGCAAGATACTTCATTTATTTATGCTTTTGTTAATTTTTGCGGATTTATTTTTGAGCTTGCAATGATAATTATAGTTTCCATAAAAGATAAAAAAATCATGATGTTCTGGAGACCTTTTGGCGTCATGATCTTATACTAATTTCCATCATCCGCTTTTTAAAAAGCCATTTCAGTGCATTTTAGCTTCTATGTGAGGTGAAAGACGGTTGCAAACTGAAATGTACAGGAAGCTAAAGGTCATTCTTAGAATTTGTCGTTATTTCAGAATTTTGCCTTGGCTCGAGACAACATTAATAGATTTGATATTATCGGCAGGTGGACAGCACACCGAGGGTGTTTTCCGTGTACCGGCTGATCCGGATCATGTTCATACAGGTAAAATTGAGTTATACTGTAACAAATAATTTAAATCATGGACTAGTTACTTCTTGTTTTAATTCGTATTTTATTTTTCCTAGAAATGTAACTGCTTCAATAAAAGCATTCCAAAGAATGAAGAACTTAAAGGGTTTCGAATTCGGTAAAATTTTTATGCTCGTAATAGCTTAAAATTTTTCATCGCCGATTATTCATGATTTGTAAAAAATTTCAACGAAGAAAGGTTCGTAAAAAGTTCTATCCCTATGTTGTTTTTAAATTTTAGCAAGATTGCGTCTCGATCGAGGTCTTATTCCGGTTGTGCGTGATGCTCATGTCCCAGCAGCGTTACTAAAATTATGGTTACGTTCACTGCCAGAACCACTACTGCCGGATGCTTTTTATCTACGTTGTTTAGCAGTATGTGATCAAGCCGAAGAAGCATGTCGTATAGTTGAGCTTCTACCTGCCGTGAATCGTCTAGTTTTAGCAAAATTATTAGAACTTCTTCAGGTATTTTTACTTATTTCCATAGATCTTTATTTGATTACTAGGATTAATTTTTCTTAATTATTATACTGGATATACCGTTTCTTAGTTCATTTCTCCATCAGATTTTTGAATAAATATATGTTGCAGCTATTAGCGGAAGAAGAAACAGTAAAATATACAAAAATGGATGTGTGTAATTTAGCGATGGTAATGGCACCCAATGTATTACGATGCGGTAGTGATGATCCACGTGTTATTTTTGATAATGCGCGACGGGAAATGACGTTTTTAAAAACGCTCATTTTGCACTATGATACTTCCTTTATACGTTCTGTGTCCTAAATTCCACCAAGTTTCTCTCGAAAGTGTGAAAATTTTGGGAGATTATAATTTTTAAAATTTTCTTCGAATTATTGACGCAGTTTTACAATTGATCTCATATAAACAATTCAGTGCGGCATTCTTTTCCGGTGACGACTTGACGACATGCCGAATACAACCGATTATGAACTGTCTAAAAGAAGTTCATGATGTTTGTCATCCCATACGATTTCATTTATTCAATTTGCCTTTCAAATTAAATAGCTAAGTGTCAAATTTATACATTTTACATGGTCGAAGAAGGATTTGTTTCACTTCTGTCTATTGAAGCTTCCTGTTCTAATTGGATAATCTGGATTTTGAATTTCATTTAATTTTTTTGAATGATTCATTTATTTTTTTACATTTAATATTTTTAAAAGAGAGTCTTCAAATAGGATCATATTATAGATGCTATTGTAGCTATCGATTTCGAAGTATTTTCCTTTTAATTATTAATAATTAATTTGCTCATCGATGCAAATAACTTTATTAGTTCTTATGAAATGTTAAGATTCGTATTATCGTCCACATCATGCTATTTATCAATTGCCAAGATATTTTATTCATTGCTGATGGTAGTCATAGCGCATCAGCGTTCGTGTTATTATTTAATTCATTATCAGCTTTAGCAATTATTCTTATACTGTACCGGAAACATCGATAGCGTTTATTAAACATTTAATTGATCCGCTGGTTAGGCTTCAGTGGTTCTCTATCATGTTTTGTCATAATCTCTAATTTCCATTTCGAATTTGAAAATTTCCAATTCTTTCAGTTTTGATAGATATTGTATAATGTTTAATGCGGTGATTCCTTTTTTGAATATTTTGATCATATACTGTGTTTTCCATATCAAATTTGAAGATATTTGTATGTTTCGTAAATATTATTGAATAATTGCTTAGCTACAGAAAAGGGGGGGGGGGGACAGTGTTACTCTCTGATAGGGACAAATTTTATGCTCATCAATCAGTGTCACCAATTGTGATATCTGAATTTATACCTGTATTTTTGAATATCATTTTGCTTGCCTGTGACTTCAGGATCATTCGAAATGTAACGAAAAAATTATCAGTAGCGTTCCAATTATCCTATTATCCAATACAGTTCTTCATCATCTTTGGATAATCTAGTCGAACTGTTACATCTGATTCAGTTCTTTGTTGTTTTTCTATTATTATGTGGTTGATCTTTGAAAATTAATAAATACCTCAGAAAGCTTAAAATTTAAATTTTGGAAGCTTTAAAAACGAAAGAATCTTCATCTTAGATTCATCTTAGATAATATATCTTTGAACTTGAATTAATAAATACGCAAAGTTTTGTTGCGCCATTATGCAAAAAAAAAAAGTTTTTGTTTGGTAGCATATTTTTAGCACTAAATATGATACCTCGATTATCTATGAGATATCGTTTGTTTGTATGGATAAAGCACAACTATTAATAAAATATAATACATCCTATAAATCCGATCTTACAAATAGAATTAGGTGATGAGTATTCAGAAAGGAATTGCTCTCGAGTAGCCTTTATTTATAATCTTCAGGATTATATAAACTTTAGTAATTAGTAATTTCTGTCATTGAAGCATACGTATGTTTTTTAATGTAATTACGCATCAATTTCTGTATAAAAATTTTATGCGTAAAAAAAAAAAAATTATGTATAAAATTTCTGAATGGTTATGACAGTACAATTATGGAAGATATAGAAGATGTTATTCGTGTTACTACGGTTACTAATTTAAAGCGAAATCATGTGATTGCCAGGAAACGTTTGAAAGGAGATGAAGAAATATTTTATGGTGATAGTTTTGTTCCTGGTATGTACATTATTAATATTCTAAATTTTTGTATAACTTACATATATTAATTCATACCGTTGTTTTTTTTTTCACGTGTTTGATGCGTTTGATGCTGTAAAAGTAATAGATAAGGCAGAATTTAGCTTTGAATTTGAGCAATATTTTAAACAAATTGAAAGCTTTGTCGATAAATGAAGTTTTCCAAAAAATCTACATAATATAATTAACGAAATTTTTATTTCACTAAGTGTTTGCATATCTCATTTGGCAAAAAATTTTTTTCAGGAACGCAAAAAATCTATATAAGAACATGGGGTTGTACACATAATACAAGCGACTCCGAACAAATGGCTGGTTTACTCTTAGCAGCTGGTTATCAGCTGACCAACAAAAAAGTTAATCCATTCATTTTTTTCATTATTTAGTCAGTTAATTTTAATTGAAAATTTTTGAATTTTGTTTAGTGTATAATTTTAACACATTTTTAGGAAGATGCGTCTCTATGGATACTAAACAGCTGCACTGTAAAGACACCATCTGAAACGCAACTCGAAAATACAGTTAAGGAAGCTCAAAAATTGAATAAGTTTATCGTTGTAGCGGGCTGCGTATCTCAGGTAATATTTTAAGAAAAGTCTTCTCTTTTTCTAATTTTTTCTTCATCAAAATATGAAAGTGAGAATTTTTGGATATGGTCACGACAACTTATCTTTTGAAATTCCGCCTACATTCTATTTAAGATCTCAGCATTCAGCATTCATTATTGCTATTGCACTCATAATTGGTGCCTTTTTTTCTGGATATTTATTGTTTACCTTCTGCATTGTCCAATATTTTTAAGGCTGAACCAAATCTGCGATTTTTGGAAGGAATCTCAATAGTTGGAGTTAAACAAATTGAATGTATAACTCAAGCAGTGGAAGAAACATTGAAAGGAAATTGTGTTCGATTCTTGTCGCGGAGAAAACCAAATTCGAACCTGTTACTTCCAAAAATACGAAAAAATAAATTTATAGAAGTTAGTGAGCATAATTTATGTAAGTAGGTGCTTTAGAAATATTTATCTTAAATTCAAAAGTTGAGTGAATTTTTGATTTCATTAATTTGAGATAGTTCTTTCGAGCTTTGAAATCTGCTGGAAATTAGTCTTCATGGAATATGAAATTTATGTGTAAAAGAGCAGTGTTAAGGGATTATAACATTTTATTAAAAAATTCAGTCAAATTATGTTTATCATTTGCTTTTTTCAATCAAAATTTACGAATAATACAGTTTTTTGCGGAATAAGAATGAATCATGTTCACAGATTCTTGCAATCAGTAGTGGTTGTTTGAATCATTGCACATATTGCAAAACAAAATCTGCTCGTGGAAATCTGGTTAGCTTTCCACTCGATAGCTTACTAGAGCGAGCACAAAATGCATTTGTTGACGATTGCAAAGAACTTTGGCTGACATCCGAGGATTTGGGCGCTTGGGGTCGTGATATTGACATGGTCTGTTTTTCCTGCAGTTTTTATTTCTCGTGTTTCACTGAAGCATTGAAAGAGGAAAATAATCAGTATAT